CATCCATTGTTTTGGCCTACCCATTATATGTGGGCAGAATGGATATTCTCCAAGCCCTTTCTATTAAACATTGTCAACTTGTGGGTCGAAGGAAGCATGCTTTCTCTGTTGCAGACTCTGGCCTCTGAAACTTCATCCCCACCCCCAGCGATACAAACAGCACCTTCTTTTCTGGCATTCCCAAAGCCCTTAAAACCTGTCTTTGGTCCCAATCCTGGAGTTAATGTCTACTGGAAGAGAATTCATATAACATTAAGCCAAAATCAAATCACATTATGGTGGTGGTTGTTTGTTTTAAAAAACAAGGCAATTGTACACTTGATGAGTTCTGTAAATAACTGAAGGAGAAACAACACAGGAAATCTATAATAACAATTTGCCACTTCCATTATCAAATCAATTACTTCCAATTATTGATTCCCCAAATATATACATGAATATTTTATATAATCTATAATCTATTGAATTATTTGCCCTTGTCCATTAAACTTAGCATAAATTGCAACTCTGCTCCATCTTTTAAATATACTTCTGCTAATACTGGAAGCATGTCTTCTAAATTCAAGTTTGGGACATTAGCTAGATGTAAAGTCTCCTTTTCTCTGTGAATATTGTTTTTAGTATCTGATGAAAAATAATAATTTAAAACAACTTCAGTCAAATTACCTTCTTAAGCAATAGGGAAATTTCACAAAAGGGAAAGCATGCAACATGTAAGAAAGGACGTTTGAGCATCCTCATATTAATTTGTGGAGAGCTGATGATAACAGGAAATATCATATTGCAAAGTTGTCCCGTTAAGAAACGCATGTAGAATAAGAGTAAAGATAACAGATTTACTTGATGATATGCATGAGTGTAAAATCCTTATGAAAATAAATTAACATTCTATGTTACTGTTTTGTCAGTTGTGTAAAATACATTCTTGTAAACTATGTATTTAATGCACGTTTTTTTCAGTATTTTGCAAACTTGCTACCTAAATAGAAACTAGGATTTACAATGTACTATATGTTTTTAGGTAGATAAGTAGAAATAGACAAACAGATAGTTTACAATCCAATGGTCGCCCAAAAGCACATTATCCAGCCACTTCAATTTGTAGTACGTAACTAACAAACTGAGGCCATTATGCAATCTTAGTATAATCAAAAGCTTCCATGGACAAATTGTTTAATTTCAAAAATGTTTAGGTTTCATCATTTGTTTCCTAGTTCAAAGGCTCTATAAAAGAATTTGGCAATTTTGAAATGATTATTAGAATCCACAAGAAGAATTTAATAATATTAACTACCTGATCTACCAGGAATTTTACTTCAAATTATCACTATATAATCACTATCGCTGTATATCATAAAATTGATAATATTATATAGCAGTGCATGAGCTGTGGTTCCAATTGTTCCAAAATGTTGGAGGTAAAACTTCCGTGCCAAATGGAAATGTATTAATACTTTCCAGTAAGTCTGAACCACTGACATAAAAATGATATTAGTACTGTGAATTATTCAGTCTACAATATTTAGCAAACAATAGTAAATAGTTAACAGATGGGTCAAATGTTCAGGCTACAAATAGACCTCTTTATAAAGTCTGTATAAGATTTTAGACAATTTTGTTGGAACGAATCTTATAATATTGATTAATTCTATTTGAGATATGCAGAGAAAACAGAAATATTAAAATGCAATATAAATTAGGGACTATCTGTTTTATGGGAAAATCTAAGCATTTATGAACTATGTAGAGATATATGTATGTGCTCTACTGATGCCATGTAGCATTGGTATAGAACAAAAGAGATGATTTAGGAAAGGTATGTAGCTGAGGCAGTTAGCTAAACTTGACTTATGCCTGAGAAAGGAAGAATTATTACTCTAGCAGGGAACACAATGCTTATCTCCCCCTTCTTGTATGCTACCAATGCTCTTTCCAGGTTGCCTGGTTTGTTTGTTTTTTATCATTATCTGTCCTGCTGAAGAATAATCAGAATTTTGGTAATTGCCACTGTTACCTGTATTACCATATTACTTCATTTTATATAATTTTATTGTATTTTATGTCTATTTTTTTAGTTTTATAAGTATAGCTATATGTATTTCTATTGTAGCATTTTCTGGCCTAAAGGCAGCATTAAGATTTTGATTTGAGAAAGCAAAAAGGTGTTAGAACGAAATATAAACATTACCCCATCTTGGCTCTCTTTGGCATAAGAAGGGAAGAGAAAAAAAGGCTTCTTATGGAAATAGATTGTCTATATTGAAAAAGGCTAAAACTGAATTCAGTATTTTATTGAAAAATATTAAGGCTCAATACAAACTTACTTGGCAGTAAATTCAATAAAACAGCTATTATTTTGGGTTGACATTCAAATAGGTTGTGCTGCAATTGTGTCCTTCACAAGATGTTTATGTGCTATGTGAGGTAATAATAATAAACATTCCTGATAAATTTTGTGCAACTTAGTCATTTATATCTTTACCCTTTGGGGGTTTTTTTCCTGGATTCAGTGGGATTTATTCCCAAATTAACTTTGTTTTTGTAGTACTATATTTGGCCTCCATCATTCAGACAAGCTGCCTTTGTACTTTTTAATATGATTTATTCCATGCCTTTCCTTTTAACAAGAAATTGGCTTTTTTTTTTTTTTGAAAAGCAGCCAATCTGCTGACAGTATGCTAATTACTACAAGGTCAGTTAATGATACTGATAAAGCAAAAACCACTGCAATGGTTTGCAGAATCTATAGGTTGATTTCTGCAGAATCCATGTTCTTAATTTTTCCATAGTTAACCATGTTTTTTTTAAAAAAAAGTAATCACATTTTAAAAAGACCACTAAGTATCACGTTAAGGAAGTAAAATCTCTCAACTTGGATTTCTTTCTGTTTTCCTATCTTCCAATTTTGTAGTAATTCAATGAAATCTCACACAAAAGAACTAACAATATATAATTCAATCTGTTTAGGGTATATCACCTTGATGATCTTTAAAAGGATTTTTTTTTCTCTTGCTGTTTCTTCATTTTTTTTTCTTTTGCCGTTTCTTCATATTAATTCAGGCATGACTTTTGCCCATCACCTGTGAAAGTAACAGAATTTTATTTTTATTTTTATTTTGACTGCAGACAAGATAAATATTATTCTTACTGATAAATATATAGTGCACGATAATAAAATTGACTTTACATCAAAAACTATAACAGCTGCATTTTTCTAATATCTGGGGAAGAAGCTTTCCTATGATTTCCTCATCATACTGACTAATTACCTTGATCTTTAAGAAAAAAATCAACTGCCATGAGATGTTAATTGATGCTTAACAGCCAAAATATCAAACAACCTAGGTTTGAATTCTCTTGAATCTTAATAGAGTCAACATTACATTTATTGGAATATATTTAAATGGTTGAACTGTTAAACATGCAGCTGAAAACATTAGAATTGAAATTTAAAATCAAAAAAGGCCTTTCCTCCCCTCCCCCCGACCCCTTTCCAAATGGAGGAAAATGTTGTGTATGCTTTGTATTACCCAGCAGACATGGCCTACTTGGCCCATGGGCTGGATGTGTCACACGCTGGCCACGCCCACCCCCGGTTTAGCAAAGAAGGAAACAATCGCGATACGTCACGTGATGACGTGACACCCCAAGTTTGACACTACTGTATCCTAAGGAATACGCTATTCAATTGCACACACTACACCCCTTCACATAATTTGGCATCTGATGTGTCTATTTTATATATGGATTTCCCTCTTTGGCAAGTAGAGAGGTTTGGAGATTTCCATTCAAGACTTTCCTAAAAAGGAAAATGAAGTAAAACCGTAAACATACTTCCTGCTTTTCATTGAAATCTGCCAATGCACTGCATTCACCCTGCACAATAAGTCATAAACAAGTTATGCAATTCAGTCAGGGGGGGAGAGGTAATTGGGCTGGTATTCCAGCTTGGCTTTTTATGTCATGGAAACATCTGTAATCAAAGCCTGTGTTTATTTTATTACAAAATGTAATGTATAAAGTGTTCCCACTTTGAAAGGAGAAACTAGATCTTGAAAGATATTCCTGTAAGTTTCAGAACTGGAAAACAGTGTAAATAAAACAGGCCTATTTACTGACATAGACACTTTTTGAAGAACAAATTGTATTGTACTGACACAGCTTGGCTCTATATTAGAGCATGATCTGAAGGATCATGAAGCAACAATTTTTCTAACACTGGTGTGATTTTTTTTTCTGTGTAGCAGACCTCTGGAACTGCTAAACATGTTGCCTGAATTTCCATTAGAAAAGAAATGCAAGATGTAAATTGAGTGGTTTCTATCCAATGGTGCCATTTGTATAGCAGGCATCAACAGTGGAAGGGATTCCCCTGTTGAATCAAGTTCTTAGGATTATGTACTTTATTTAAATCTTTAAAAAGTTGCATGAATGATTTATCTGAATGCAAGAACATTTACTAAATTGCACATGTTTTATAGATTAATAAATATTCTAAAATAAGTTTTTCCTGGGTGGGGAAAGGAATGCTTTGCAGGTAAAATAGATTTCTCTGGTCTACAGAGCTTCCTTCTAGTGATTATACTATAATCTATTGTAGAATAAGTGGAAATCTACTCGAATTCCACTTCCAGCCTTGAGATCCAGGAGCAAGAGGATCCCAGAGTGACAATTTCTGAGTTTTTGCAAACTACAAATGATGGAATAGGAGAGACTAGCATTTCCTCATCATATTGTCAGTTCATCCAAACATAACATTATTCAATACACAGAATACACAGGTTATATAACAAACTTAGTGATTCAAAGCAGCTTTGGTTGTTATCATTAAGTATCCTCCATTTGTTTCCCTTCATTTCATGATTTTTTTTTTCATGAACCTGGCAACTTTCATGTAAAGAATGCATAATCTCAAGATGCTCCAAGTTGCTCAATTGTCAGTTTTGTTTTCAATTTCAAAGACAACATGGTCACTTATGCATTTCTTTTTTTTTCTTTAGCTGTGCCTCCTAAATTGAAGGAGATGACAAGTCAAGAATCTGCTGTCGGTCAGACACTAGTTCTCAGATGTGAAGCCAGTTCTGAGCACGTCTCTCTCAAATTCAAATGGTTAAAGAATGGGAAAGAACTAACAAAAAGAAACAGACCAGAAAATGTCAAGATTAAGAGCCCAAAAAAACAAAAGTAAGTATATAGCATTGTATCTAAAAAGCTGAGAATTGTTTCTCGTGACACAGATATCAACTGTATTAATCATCTCAGATACCCAAAATGTGTTATTCTCTTTGGAAAGAGATAATTAATGGAAATAGATTATTATTTTATTTTAACTTAGTGATTTTATGCTTCTGCTGCTGTTATATCTTACTTCATAAAAAGGTTAAATAGAAATTCTTTGTCATTATTAAGCTAGTTCTATAGGGCAGAATTTTCTTTACAACAAATGTAAAGGAATGATATGGCAATAAGCCAAACTGTGCTTGAAGGTATTAATTTACTAAATGGTTTTGCACCCACTGTGCTAGACACATTCACAGTCTAATAATCATTGTGAGAGACAAAAAACAAATCCTTAATTTACTAGCTAGGTATTGTTATGTTTCAGGGGGGAAAAATAGCTACAGTTTCCTCTCATTCTTGCTTACAAAACTCATGGACCTGTTGCATGACAATCAGAATCAATATATTTTTAATGATCTGGTTAGAATGTGAATATCAAGTGAATATACCGTATTTTTTGGAGTATAAGACGCACCGGACTATAAGACGCACCTACCTTTTTTGTTTTTTTGTTTTTTATAAAAAGTTTTTTTTATTTTTTAGACTAACACACATACAAACATTCAATGTATTTTCTTTGAACAGAGTATTTGGCCGGTTCACAAATTTAAACAGTGTTGAGTCATTTCAATTAAATTTACAATTTCTATATTTCCTTTTTGCCATATTTATTCCTCATCTATTTTTTTAAACCAATATTACCCTTCATCCTCATCTCTAATCTTAATCAAATTCAATTTTTTCCCTTCTATTCTATATTATGCCCCTTCCCATTGTCATCTATTTTTATATCCATCCTCACATTGGTTAATTATGTAATATTACAGTTGTTTAATATAAATTCAACATTTTAATATAAATCAATTAGTTATATAACTATCTTTTTTGTATATTAATCAATATGAACATGAATATTCCAATTATTTCCATGCAATCCAATTTCTTACAAATCGATTAATTATATTTACCAATAATAATAAACCAAATAATTTTCCCCATATATTCCTCCAAACCACCACTTAACCATTTCTGCTTTCATCACAATATGCAATTAATAGTATCTCAATTATTACAATTCCCTAGTTAAATAGAGCTTTCCCCTTATGTTACTCATTTTCACATCTTAAACTCTCCCAATAACCCAAATTGTTTTGCCCATATAATCCTCCAAATCACAACTTAATCATTTCTACTTTCATCACAATATATAATTTAAAATATTTCAATCGTTACAATTTCCCTAATTAAATTTAAAAATGTTCTAGCTGTTATCCAAGCTACAACTTAATCCTTTTTACTTTCACCACCATATACCATTAAAGGTATTTCAATTGTTACAGTTTATACTTATTCATATTTCTAAAAAAAAATAAAAAAATAAAAACTTATCATTGTCTAGATTTCAAAAATACAAAGACAAATATTCCAATTATTATTCATTTCATTTTTACAATCATGATTTCCCATTTATTTCTTACTACTAATTCATATTTCAATTCTAAATATGTATAACATCTTTCTCTTTCATTTTTTTCTTTTTCTCCCTTCCCATTTTTATTTTTGCCTTTTTCTTTCTCCTTTTTTTCTTTTGTGTTTTAAAATCTTGAACTCTCCTCTTTTGCCCTAAATTTCCCATTGGTTGCACCTACCTTTTTGGATGAGGAAAAAGAAGAAAAAAAAAATCTCCCTCTGACTTTGCCTAATTTTGCGACATAAGAGAAAACAGCCTGCTTTACTTTCAGTTTCGTTTTCAGCATAGCTTGATTTGCACCAGGAAAAAAAATCTGCTCCAGCAAATTACCTCTTTGCAGCAAGCAGCAGAGCTCTGCTCAAAACAGTGAGAGCAAATCAGCTGAGAGTCGGGGGGCCGATCTAATCAACTTGTGCTAATTAGGCTGTGCTGAAGCTGAAAGGAGCTGTTTTTTCTTGCTGTTTGCTTGCAAGGAGGTAACTGCTGCGAGGCACAGGCCAAAGGGTGGGGGCCAGTGGGTGGCGGGGCTACATTCGGTGTATAAGACGCACCTAAAGGTGCCTCTTATACTCTGAAAAATATGGTAATTTTTCATTGATCTGACTAGATTGTTTTTTAATTGTTAACATTTGTGCAATCAATATAATACCTTGATTGGTTTTGGATACATTTAAACTCCCTATTTCTTAGTTTAATCTGCCTCAAAGAACAGTTATGAAGCTAAAATCTTGGCATGAATTAAAAAATGTAACATGAACATTTTGATGTGTTTTGGTCCATTTCCTCTGAGTGAGCACAATTGAATCAAATATCAAGACACAAGTATCCTTCATGCTGCTGATTTTATCATATATTCATTAAACGAAGATGAAGCTTTTATTAGTTCATTTCAAACGAGTGTCTGGAAAGCTTATTATGCTTATTGTCATGGCTGCAATTTTCAATCCCAAACAGCAGCCAAAATCAATAAAAACACTTAATTTCTTTGTTAAACCGAAGTCCTTTTTCTCTGTGTGTGTCTTATATTAAATACTAGAATACTAAATTGCCATCATCTGTCACTATATTAAATATAGTGAAGGATGACTTAGGAAGTCGGCTGGGTTTAAACTGAACATGATTGATTGAAGCAGTAGAGTTGTTAAGGCCATGCAACTGGCAGAAAAGGGTTTTTTCCACCTTCATTTCATGCAAAGCTCAAAGAGGCTGAAGTATTGCAGGAAAATAACAGTTTCACAGATGGATCCAGGTTGCCTTGGACCCAGGTTTGAGTGCAGTGTTATATATTTTGTATATAATGTGGTCCCTGGTATATTGTGAGGCATGCTTTAACAAATGAATCTATTTGGGCAGATTTATTGAATATGCATTTATGAAAATTCCTAGACTTGATGTTACTTTTCAGTAACAGCTAACATGGATGTAAAGTTGAGCTAGAAAGTTTGTAGAAAATTTGAGATGGGCTCTGAGAATTCAAGAGACAAGCTATGAATTTTTTCGGGCAAACCGATCTTATCTTGGATAGAATACCTTATCTTGGATAAAATTTTGCTTATTCTCATAGCTACAGACACTAAATGAACTTTGTAAAATTAGTAGATGTGTTATATATGGATTTCTATTTAGTTTTAAAAGCATAGCGCATCAGTATCGTGGTCATAGTTTGAGATTAGATTTCATGCCAGCTGAAGATGTACAGATAGTCATTGACTTACAACCACAATTGAACCCAAATTTTATGTTGCTAAATGAGACAGTTGTTAAGTGAGTTTTGCCCCATTTTACAACCTTTCTTGCCACATTTGTTCAGTGAATCCCTGCAGCTGTTAAGTCAATAATCCGGTTGTTAAGTGAATCTGGCTTCCCCATTGATTTTGCTTGTCAGAAGTTCACAAAAGGTGATCACATGTCCTCAGGACACTGCAACCGTCATAAATATGAACCAGTTGCCAAACATTAGAATTTTGATCACGTCACCATGGGAATGCTGCAACGGTCGTAAGTGTGAAAAACAATCTTAAATCACTTTTTTCAATGCCATTGTAACTTTAAAAGGTCACTAAATAAACTGTTATACGTAGAGGATTACCTCTTTATGACACAAGGAAGGATTATGATTTCTACCCCTAGAGCTTCTGCTTAGATTCTGTGTATTGGAAAACAGAAATTACCTCAGAACATCCTAAATTATACTTGATTTTGCCTACATGTTTTCCTGCTTTGGATGGAGCATTGCTCCTTCTTTCCCTTGACCTTTCCCATCCCTTTCTTGGCTGTGCTGCCATTTCTTGAAAAAATTTCTAGATGAACTGTTTGTGGTCAGCACACAAATTCTGGTTACTGAGAGAATGTCTGGATGACAGAATTTATTTGTGCTTCAGCCTAACCCATTTTAGCCAGAAATAGCTTTGAGTTTGGATCATACCGTTATGTAGGCCTGACAAAAACAGTTAAAGAATTCCAAAATACAAATTGGTTACAAAAGAAATAGTTTTAAAAATATCTTAAAAGCCCAAAGTTCTCTTTGCCAAATCTGATCACCTCATGTGTACAGCTCCAGTGTGATATATTTACAAGTTTGCAAGTGAAAGACTAAATCTCTTACTTTCTATTTGGATGCTTTGTGATACTTTAACACAATTTTTGATTTGCAAGATTCATGTAATGGCTATATTAAGTTATTCCCTGCCAGAACTGAGAGCTCCTGTTAGATCAGTACAGCTATTTTTAAGGGAGGAGGCATGAAGTAATAGGCTAATTATTCTACAAACATTATCATATATGTAAAAATGCAAAATATGCTAAGCTTCATAGGATATTCTTCAGTAAAGGCTTTATTTAAAAATATATTATCAACAATACAGGAATTCATATAAGATTTTTATACAGCAGAAACGTATCAATCATATCACAGTTATACTAATATTTAGACCTCACCTTAATTACAATCTTAAAAGGAGTGAAATAGAAACTATTAGATCTAGCAGGAAAAAATAAACTTTTTTATAATGAACACATTGAAATTCCATCCCTATCTTTATAACTTGAAATTGATACACTTTGAGAACCACCTGAATGTAAAGGTTTTGTATATTTACATATGGTTTAAATTAAGCATAACCTGTTATGTTTTAGTTTAATTCATACTGAATTGAGTAAAGATTATTTTTATAAAATAAAAAGGCAGTTTTTAAAGCAATTATCAGTAATGTTGTGGGGATTGGTGGCAATCTGTAGTTGGCGTAACTATTCAACCCCACTTGACTTCATCCCTTCATTTCTCCCTCATAACCTGGTCTTGTTTTTATTTACAATCCAGCTTCCATAGTTGCTTTGCTCACTACCATAGTACACATAAGTTCAGTGTCAAGCAAACTTTTTGTGCTGGTGGATATGTACATAATACTAAAAGCCTATCATACATAAAATGCAT